CTGATATGCAGCCATCGCCTGCATGTGCTTTATATATCTGGTTGCCTTGTCCAAATTTCATCACTTTAAAAAACGTGAAAGGGACTGGTGGTCAAGATCCTTTGGGTTGCAGTCCTAACCCTGCCACTGTTAGCAACTCTGGGCCTCAGTTTCCTCATCTATCAAATGGGAACAGAGCCACCCATTTCACAGCTCCGTCAGAATTAAAAGTGCACACCAAAAATACGTGCTACTCTACTTCTTCCTTCATAAAATGTGGGCAGTGATGCTGCAACTATGACCAATAAATAACATTACGAATAACAGATGAAGTAAAGTATTGCTCAGCAAAAAACAGATCACCAACTCTGCTACATGTGCCCGACAGGGTGCTCCCTGTCCCACCCCCTGAAGTGGCCAGAGATCCCCCTTCAGCCCTGTGAGGCCAATTAGAGAACAATAGCAGCTGCCCACTCTGTGCTTTGGCCTTGATTTGAGACCTCTATGTGACAGCACATGTAAAGATCAATGCAGGTAACATGGGTTGGGTTTCAGCAGGCGCAGTGATATTAAGGTGGAGTTAGGCCTGTGGCCTGTCCCTGTGTGTGCTCCTGAGCCAGCCCCCCCTTTCGGGAGCAGAGAAAATGTTTGCAGGGCAAGCCCTCTGTGTGGCTTCATGACTGCTGACTCCGTGAAGCTCAACCAGCTGGAGCAGAACATGGGTGATGGCGGGGGGGAGGGGGGAGTACTGGGGGCCGAGTGCTCCCAACGGCCCCCTCTCCCAGCTTGGGCAGGCACCAGGGCCCTGGAAGGCAGCCAGTATTCGCCAGAAACGGCTTGCTCTTCACAAGACAATGAGTCCACTGTTAACTGGCGGGGCCTTGATTAATATTTGCAAGAGGAACCAAGTGGAAAATTCCACCTGTGTGGGCGGAGGCAGGGCCTGGAACATGTCAACAACCCTAATGGCCCTGTTCTCCCAGGATGGCTCCAGCGGAGATACAAAGGTCTGATAACAGTGACAGAACCTGAGAGTGTCCTTGCACCAGGTCCAAAGGAATTTCCCTATTTGGGCCATAGAGCCATTAACTTGTTCTTTAACTGCCCTGCCTCCCCTGCCCCTAAATTTACACAGCACCTTTAAACCTTCCAACTTCCCTCCCATCTCTTCAGAGTCACCCAACAGCCTGGCCAGTCCAGCAGGGCTGGTGTCAACCCCATTGATGGGTGAGACTAACTGAGGCTTCAAGACACCAAGAGCCTGGCTGAAGGCTGCAGCAGGGGAGTAAATAGTTCAGCCAGGGGAGGAGGGACCCCGCAATCTCGACCCCTAGCTGTGACCCAGAGCCTGCCCCAGAGGGCTTGGGGTCAGGGGCCACGGGGACTGGAGAAAATAGTCTTCCAGCTCCAGCAGAGGCCCTGACCTTCGCCCACCCGAGGAGGAAGAGGAACAAGCCCAAACCAGCTCTCTCAGCTGGGTAGGCTTGGGTGCTGGCCTTGCAGGAAGGTAGGCATTCACTCATTCATTCATTCAAGCATTTAAGGAGTGCGCTCGATACCCGGCATGAAGGCACACTGCACGGTGGCTCTTTCAGACACCAGACCTGGCAGAATTCATGACTGAAGGGGTAAGGTCACAGTATTTCCAAAGGCCACATCCCTCAGACTTGAGTCACCTCATTTAGCCACTGCCAAGACAACTCTCCTCTGCTGATTTTCCAGAACAGGAAAATGAGGCTCTGCGGAGGGGAGAGCCGTGCCTGAGGTCACAGAGAGAGAGAGGCTGACACCTCCTGACCCGCAGTGGCCCTGCCTCCGTGTATAAAGCCACCACAATCCTGGCTTAGGCACCCAAGCACACGGGGTCCCCCCCACCGGCCTCCTCGGAGGCTGCACCTGCATCGACAAGGGCCTCTCATGGAGGAACACCTTCTGCAATGGCCTTCAGAGTAGCGTGGCACCCCCTCCCCCCCAAGAGGACAGGCGGGCACACCTTGTTTGCCCACAGAAAACACCAGGTGTGGCTGCAGAGCTCACCTCTGGGCCCCGCACTCTGCCATCCTGTCTGCAGAGCCTGGGCAGCACTGCCATCCTACAGGGGCCAGGCTCTCAGCAGTGTCATTCCTCTGTGCCCGCCCCCATGCCTGGACCCAGGGCAGTGGATGGGGGGACTCAGTCTGTGTCCCACACCAATGCTCAGCATCCCTTCCTCCCCTCCTACCCACATGCTCAGTGACCCCGACACCACCTCACCTTCCCCTCCCCCTCTCCATTGCCCAGCTGTTTCTTCTCCTGAAGAACCTCAGCCTCTCCCATTGCTAAAAAAGCCAACCCCCATACTCACATATCTGAACCCACTTACTCCCATGGCCCTTTCACCTCCTCTAGCCAAAACCACACCTAACTGCCAATGACCTAAGCTGGGGGGGCCCCTCAGATCAGATGCAGCCACAGAAGGCAGGGCCACTGTGGGTCAGGAGGTCTCACCTCGCCTCTGCATGACCTCTGCCCCAACTGTCCCCACGAGCTGCCTCCTCACTCCTGGTGCAGCCCTTCCTGGCCCTGACCTCCACTAAGCTCTCCTCCCCCAGGGCCCTGTCCTCCTCCCCTCTCTAGTATCTCCTGTGAATGTCTGCCTCACAGATCCTGTCTCCAGGTTTGGCCCCTGCACCCCTGGTTGTCCCCAAACCCTTCCCTCTCAACAGCCCCACGTTCCCACAGAAAGGCCCGCTTTGGCGCAGCTGAAAACCCAGCACAGCTCCAGCCTGGCCCGCCACGGGGCCTGGGCTGCGTCAAGTGTTCGGTTAGCAGCTCCCTCCTTGCTGGTCTCGGCCACCGAGGCAGCCTTCCTAAAACTAAATGCTGACCACCACCTAAATACACCTCAGCCGGGACTCCTGGCCACCACGGGACAAAGTTCATGATCTCAGCACTTTCACAGCAAGGCAGGCACATGCCCTGGAACATACTCTCACCACACTCATCCTCAGTTCAAGAGGGCCCGGCAGCCTGCACCCGTGTGGTGTCCACCTTTGCACCCCGGCATCCTGCAGGTGTTTGCTAAGAAGACAGCTATTAGAGCTGGAAACGAGATCAGGAACCACAGGGCTTAAAGCAGCTCAGAGGAGTTGAGCAAGGTGTCCAGGGTCACCCAGCCCCAGGCAAGGGTGAGGCAGCCACCTCACCTGAACCCCTCTCCTTGGTCAGGAACCAGAAATGTCACCTAGAACCCCACAGGTACGCATGCCAGAACCCCTAGGTGGTCTTGAGGCTGGGCCCACTCTATGCAGGCCCCTGGCAGGAGGCCAGGCCTGGCACACAGTAGGACTGCAGCAAAACCAGCTGCCTAAGTCAAGCTCCACCAATTCCACCCCTAGGGCCCACATCCCTCTCTAGATCTTAGTCTTCTCATCTGTAGAATGGAGCTAAACTTGGGTTACAAGTTTATGTGACCTTGATTGGTCACCCCAACCTTGTCCTTTGCAAACAGAGAGGGCTGAAGCAGCTGAATTCCAGGCTCTGTGATCGACTGTTAGCCCAGCTGACTTTTATTAACCTTCCCCTAAACCAGTGTTTCCCAAACTTCTCTCATGATGAGAATCACCTGGTGGAGTTGTTAAACTACAGAGTCCTAAATTCCAACTAAGAAGTGCTAAACTAGAATTTTTGGGGACATATAGGTAAAATTGTATACTTAACTTGTGCTAAGTTAGGAATCTGTATTTTAACAACTCCACCAGGCGATTCTCGTCATGAGAGAAGTTTGGGAAACACTGATTCCACTATGTCTCAAAAAAGCAGTCCCACACCGCCTGTGTCAGATTTACCGAGGAGGGCTTGTTAAGCAGACCTCAGACTCTGCCCCATCTGAGGGTCTGGTAAGAATCGCCGAGAAAGGACCAGGATTTGCATTGAAGGCAATGCTGAGAATCCTGGGCACAGTGAAACCAGAGAACCAAAGTTGCAAACTAGATCAATCCTCTAGAAATGTCACCTGGAACCCCGCATATATGCATGTCAGAGTCCCCACCTGACCTTGAGGCTGGGCCCACTCCATACAGACCCAAAGCAGAACCCCGCAGGTGGGCCATATACCTGGCACACAGTAGGACCACAGCAAAAACAGCCTTGGGAGATCCAAGTATTAGTGCCAGCCTTCATTTTGGGGAAATCTACATTTACCAGAAAAACCTGGGGGGGGGGGGAGGGGAAGAGGGGAGGGAGTATTTCTGTTACCCTAAACCTAAATAACATAGAACTTAGTTCCTGCAACAAAAACTAGCTCCAGGAAGAATTCAATAAGGCGTGCCCCACCCCTTTTGCTCCGGGGGGTGGGGGTGGGGGCCTGGATTTTGCATAAAGTGGTGTCCCAGTCTCAGCGTCCAGCCTGGGGTCTTCCTGCCTCACCAAACCTCCTGCCTGAGAGCGCGGCCGGGGCCATGCGGGGCGGAGGGGAGGAGGCCGGACCGCGGGCGGCGGGCGCCGCTGTGGGCTGGGTCGGCGGGGGTCGAGGCCCGATCCCTGCAGCTACTCACCCTGGGCGGCTGGGCGCAGCGCCTGGACGGGACAGTGGGCTGTGCGGAGCGGGAGGGGGCAGAGGCTGAGCTGGAGGAGCGGCGGCCCGGGCCCGCTGCACTTTAACTGCCGGCGCCGCGCCCCGCGCGCTCTCCGCGGCCGGGAGGGGAACGGGCCGGGCTCGGGGCGGGGACCAGCGCCGGGCGGGCTGCCGGCTCGGGCGGGCCGGGCGCGCGCAGCCCGAGGCGGGAATGCCGCCTGCACCTGGCTCCCTGCACACACGTGTGCGCGTGCTCCGGCCGCGAGGGGTCTCGAACCGCTGGGACGGGCCCATCCCTCTGGATCCCGCAGGCGAGGGCTCTCCCCAGGTCCCCACCCGGGGAGGGGGCGGCGGGGCCGGGTGGCGCTGAGGGAGGCGGAGCCCGGAGGGGTGGCCCCAGGGCGCCCTATAAGAGCGCTATGGGAACCTGGCGAGGACCGCGCGGTGGGGGGGCGGTGGCCCTGCGATGTCGCTGGTGTTGCTGAGTTTGGCTGCGCTGTGCCAGGGTGCCCTGTCCCAGGAGCCGGTAAGCTCCCTTTCCCGCATTTCCATCCCTCCAAGCCAGGACCTTGAAGTTGGCCAAAGGGCCAGCTTGAGCCTTAAGGCTTTCCAAGAGAGGGCAAGTCTGCACCCCCGGGGTACCCAAACTTGTTCTGGTCGGGTGGCACCCGGCTTCCTGCCGCTTGGTCAGACAGACCGAGGCTCAAATGCCACTCTTTTACTCGGATTCCAGCTATTTATGCTCACTGAACCTACGTGTCCTCATCTGTAAGGCAAAGGGTAACCACCTAACTCACCAGAATCTAGTGAGGAGGAACAGGAGGGCCTGCCGCAAAGAGCCCAGCACACAGGAGGTGCTCAGCACTGTTTCTGCTTGGCCTCTTGAGGCCTTGCCTACCTTTGGGGGGTGGGGGTGGGGGGGGGCAGGATCCGCTTCTCCATTCTCACTCGCTGTTTTTGTCATGTTGGTTCACACTGTGCTGGGGTGCCTGGTCCCTGGAGCTGGTAAGTGCTGTCCTCTCCCGCACGAATTTCCTTTCTTGCCCAGCGCTTTGAACAGCCGAGGGAATGTTCTGTGACACTAAAGAGAAAAAAGCTCAGTCACAAACAGTATTTGAAGGTACATCCCTCCCTTTCCGGCACAGCGTATCACATAATAGCACGGTCTTTATGGAAAGACAAACCCCATTCGCGTACCCTGATGTCTTCAGCTGCTATCCTTGCTGCACCGGAATGGGTTAGGCACCCCCTCGGCCTTTTCCACTAGAGGAAGTACTCAGTGCCTCTGCCGTGGTTGCTATTGGGCTAACAGTTTGCTCTCTAACATATAGATCTGTTGCTTTGCTTCTTCCTACAACTTGTCCCACCAGCCTTTTGGTGACTGATTGGTTTTTTAAAATGTCTGACATTATCCCTTGGAGTTCAGCTTCAAAAGACAAAGGTGAGGGACTGACAATTGCACCTAAACCCAGATTACCCAAACCATCAAAAGTCTTGCCTTCTGTCTGACACAGTGTTTGGAAATGTTGAGGTGAGAGAAATCAGCTCCCAGAGCTGGTGGACTTAGGGCATTGAGTCTTGTCACTAGTACTTGTTGCTGCCTAAAAGGTTCAGTATTTTATTTCAAAACCAAATTACTAGTTGTTTATTTATTTTTTTAAATGCCCTACTAGCCAGTTTTGATAGAATGTTGGCCTGTGAACTGAAGGGTCCCAGATTTGATTCCCATCAAGGGCACATGTCTGGGTTGTGGGCTCACTCTCCAGTGGGGGGCATGCAGGAGGCAGCTGATTGATGATTCTCTTATCATTGATGTTTCTCTCTCCCTCCCTCTCCCTTTCTCTCTGAAATCAATAAAAATATATATATTTTTAAAAATGGGCAGTTAACTCCAAGAGGAGGAGGTACTGGCCTTCTTGGACACCAATGATACCTTTTTATTTATTTGTCTAAGTTCTTTTAAAAAGATAACATGATAAGCTCACAGTTGCTTCATGACTTTGTAAATGACACAGACGAGTCCATCCTTTTGCATTAGAAGCATATTTTCAAGAACCGGGGAAGGTACTATGAACTGCATCTGTGGCTTTCTTCTGTTCATCTTCTTAGCGTAACCAGTTCTTAACCTGGGGAAAATAAAAAGATCCAATATACTAGCTGGCCCTGGAAACCTATAGTTAAATGTTAGAGTGTGAAGGGTCTTCATGTTGGTCCAGAGCCATCCCTTCCATCTTTGAGGCAATAAGCAGGCTTCCGGACCTAGTATGCTGATGGCTGGCCCATGGTCCATCACTCCCCACAATGGGGCAGCTTAGTCCCCCCCGCCTCCTCCCATTGCGAAGGGGAGTCAGCCCAGCGTTTATTTGAGCACTGGGCACTTGTATATGCATTTAAGACAAAAGGATGGTGTTTTGACTAATTTGGCTTGTGGTTTGCTGGCATTCAGCATGACACTTGCTTTTTTCTCTCTTGCAGACGATTCAGTGTGGCTCTGAGAATGGTAGGTCCCCTGGGGAATGGGTATTTGGGGCTTTGCATTGACATTGAAAGCACAGTTGGACTTTCACAGGGCCCGAATCCAGGCCGTGGGTCATCGGAGGCCAGGCTTACGGTGAACTATTGCTTTGTTAGCTGATGTATAGGCAACCTCTTTCAGAGCTCCCTGTGTTTCAGATGGGCGGGGAGGGGCGGTGGGAGATCCTGGCCAGAATGACAGCAAGAGAGGACAAGCAGGCCAGGAATGGCTGTGCAAGGTAGGCAGTGAGGTCTGTCTCTCGAGGTGTGGGGGGGGGGGGGAGCAAGTGTGTGTGTGGGGGGTCACTTACACTTAAAAATAGGAAGCAATTATTTTAGAGAAGTGTTTGAGAGCATAGCATTTGAAGACTGGGTGGATTTCTGTCCAAAAATGTAGATGAAGAGGGTGAGCTAGAGGACTATGAAAAAGCAAAGACCAGGGAGTGGGAAGTGTGTGGGCCAGCTGAATGGCGTCCAGGCTGAGGCGTGGGGAAGGCTTGAGTCTAATAAACATGTCAAATACATTGAATACATACATACACAGGCACACAGAGGCACCTAGAGTGGTCCTGAGTGGTCAGTAGGTTGGGGCCAGAAGGTTGAGTCAGTTAACACTGAGAAGTGTCGGGCTACCTCAGCAGGGAGAAGGGATGGACTTTGAACGAGGGTTGGATCAGGGAGAGTCACTCGGAGGAAATGGCTTTGAATTGGGCAAGGGAGGGGTATGTCATGGGCAGTCTCATCTTCTCCCAGGACCGTCTCCAGAGTGGCTGGTCAGTCACACTCTGACCCCAGGAGACTTGAGGGACCTTCGAGTGGAACCTGTTGTAACGAAAAGCTCTTCAATTTTGATGAACATTAGCTGGATACTCCGAGCAGATGGTAAGTTTGCATCAATCAAAGTTAAGGTAGAAATGTGCAGGTTATGTGATCCTTTCATTTTAATCCTAGTCATATACGCAGAAGAATATATACATACATGCACCCAAAACCACATACTAGAATGTTCATCGTAGCATCATTCATAACAGCCCAAAGATGGAAATGCCTGACTAGAAATGGAACCACAGACTGGAATCCAACAGTGCAATGAGCATGAACAAGCTGTGACCGTACACAGTGTGGATGAATCTCACCCATCCAAGAGGCCAGATTCAAAAGCGTTTCTACGTTCATATCTGCATACATGCCTATTGTCACGTGTACCATATGATTCCATTAATAAAAATGCAAAGCAAAACTAACGCAAGCAGTTAGGAGTCAGGACAGTGGTTCTGCTGGGGTGGGAGTGACTGAAAGGAAGCAGGAGGGACACTCCTGGGATGGTTCCGACATGGGCACTGGCTGCCTGAGTGTGAACTTCATCACGTGGAGCCCTTCTGACCTGTGTGCTTCTGTGTGTAATGTCACACCTCGTGGAAGAAGACTCGTTGAGGACAGAAATGACCCCTCACCTCCCCAAGTTCAGGAAAAGTAACTCTTGGGTGGTGAACAAACAATATACAGATGATGTATTACAGAATTGTACACTTGAAACCTGTGTCATTTTATTAACTAATGTCACCCCCCAGTGAATTCAACAAAAATTTAAGAGGGAAAAAAAAGGAAGAGCACTGGCTTAGATGACTTTTCCACTCCTCAGTAGCATTGTGACAGTCATGGCAGTCCCATAGGCAGCTTGTGAGGAGCCAATTCTGGGGTCCTTAAGTCCACGCCTGTCGTTTCCACCCTAAATTCAGTTAAATCCCATTTGGTCAGGAATCTGGGAGTGCCGGGCGCAAAGAGGTGAGTCAGCTATGGACCCAACACAGGGATATTTCTTGGAATCCAGAAGGAGCTGTGAGTTGATGGGGACAGGGAAGAGAGGAGCAGGTCCTGGTGAGGTCACTTTAAATTAGATGTTGTGAAAACACATTTGGCCCCATACTTAGCAGGGTGTGCTCTCGTATCTGCCAGCTGTTGTTATAGATTTAAGTTCGGCCTTGAGGGAGCAAGCCCTGGAGAGTCAGGAGAAAAGGGCACTCCAGGAAGAAGACTCGGCATGAATAAAGGTGCAGTCAGAGCACGCCTGGTTTGGTGATGCCATTCTGGAAGGTTCTTACTTCTGAAGAGACTCAGAAGAGTGCAGAGCTAGAGCCACTTCTGCAGGTATCCTAAGAAATTCAGGCTTACCTGTGACGAGGAAAACATTTGGGCTTTGGGATCTGAATCCATATTCTACCCAATGAGCTCTGTAAGCTGAGGCAAATCTCCCCGAAATTCCCTAAACGTCATACACCCCATGGTGAGCTGGGGACAACAATGGTGTCTACCTTTTAGGACTGTGGTATGAAATGAGGCATGTACACCCATAGCATCGAGCTGGCCACATACTGGGTGCTAAATAACCAGCTGCTCTTGTCTCATTAGCCAGCATCCGCTTTCTGAAGGCCACCAAGATCTGTGTGTCGGGCAAAAGCAACGTCCAGTCCTACGGCTGCGTGAGGTGCAATTACACAGAGGCCTTCCAGACTCAGACCAGACCCTCTGGCGGCAAAGTAAGCACGTGGAGAAACTTGGAAAATTGTCCTTAAAACTGGGAAGGCCCTTTGCTGGGGGACATGGATGGAGGGCTGCACACACAGGCTGGCGAGCACCTGCAACTTGGGTTCAAAGCCCATTTGGGGCCACTTCTCTGCTGTGTGCCTTGGGCAGGTCAGCATCTCCCAGACTCAGTTTCCCCATCAGTAAAGTGAGGGAGGCTGAACTTAAATTATATCCTGGCTCTAAAATCTTACACCTTTCTGATTCCGTGAGTTACACTGATAGATTGTGTGGGGGTCATGCCCTGTGTCAGGGGTGGGGAACCTTTTTTCTGCCAAGAACCATTCGGGTATTTACAACATCATTCACAGGCCATACAAAATTACCAAGTTAAAACGTAGCCTGCTGTAGTTGGTCAAACATTTAATTAAGTCATCCCCAATGCCTTGGCAGGGCTAGATTTCGAGGGCCTTACATAGCTCAAGGCCGGACATTCCCCACTGCTCTAGGTAGACATCGGTTAGAGACCTGTTTCAGCAGTAGGCTAAGGAGTGAAACTATGAATGAAAAGGCCCCACAGAGGTACTGTGTTCCTGCATTGCCATGTTTCAGAAATTTAGGGGCCCTTCCTTTGCCTTTCAGTGGACGTTTTCCTACATTGGTTTCTCTGTGGAGCTGAACACTCAATACTTCATTGGGGCCCATAACATCCCCAATGCAAATATGAATGATGACAGCCCCTCACTGTCTGTGAATTTCACCTCACCAGGTAAACTTCTTCAGTCTTCTGTTCTTCTGTCTTGCTGGGAGGCTTGTGTTGGGGATGTGGCTTAGAATAGAGAAGCCAGGGTACCCTGGACAAGGTGTTTGCCATTACCAAGTCTTGTAATATGGACACCATGGTAACTGCACCTCACAGAGGAGAGGAGAGTAAAATTGGGGGAAAGCCATTTCTGTGTGTCAGGCACTATGCTGAGCACTTGAATACATCATGCTACGTAAACCTCCAATAATCCCGAGGGTGGGAGAGCAGCTTTACAGGTGAAGACATTTCTCAAGTAACTTGTCTGGGTCACACACACAGTAAAAGAGAACCTGGTCCTTCTTGGTCCATGCACATTAGCCACTCTTTGTCACTGATGCAAAACGTTTGTTCTAGCCCTGGCCGGTGTGGCTCTGTCGGTTGGAGCATCATCAAATACACCAAAAGGTTGTAGGGTCAAGTCCTGGTCAGGATGTGTGTGGGAGGCAACTGATCAATGTTTCTTGCTCACATCAATGTTTTCCTCTCTCTCTCTCTCTCTCTCTCTCTCTCTCTCTCTCCCTCCCTCTCCCTAATTCTAATTTTTAAAAAAAATGGTAGATTGATATATTTGAAAATAATAAAATGTCGTTCCAGTCTTGGCTTCCTAGCACGCTGTGTTGAAAGCATGCTGCAGGGTCTCTGAGGATGTACAGCCATTAGTCGGTGTGTCGCTGAACTGTAGGTGAAGGCAGGTGGCACTATGTTGAATGTTGGGTTCTTTCCCCAGCTTTATATCATTCCATCAGCTCCCCGGTGTCACACCTGCAATGTCACACATGGGGCCGCGGTTAGGATGAGACAGGACCATGGGTGAAGGTGCCAGCATGGCGTCTGGCTGCAGCAGTTCCCACAGCACTCCCATCTGGAATGGTCACCCGTTTTGTACCCCACTCCCGTTCTCTGTCTCAGGTGAATTTCCAAATGGGCAATTCCCAATCTTCTTTGAGATTGTGGTCCAGGGTGTTCTTGGTGCCACACCTCTTACTACACAGCACTTTCCAGCTTTCTTCTTGATAACAAATCTCATCTTAAATAATATAAATGTGTTTATGCTGGAATGATTTTAAATTTATAGAAAAGTTGCAAAGATAGTTCGCAAAGTTTCCATATGCCCTTTAACGTTTTTCCTTATCGTTAACATCTCATATTACCATGGGACATAGGTCACAACTAAGAAACAACGTTTGTACTTTTCTATTAACTAAGCTCCAGACTTTATTTGAATTTTGCCAGCTTTTCCTCGAATGTCCTTCTTGCTGTCCCAGTCTCCTCTGGTTTGCAACAGCTTCTTAGTCTCTGTTCCTCGTGACCTTAAGTCTTGAGGAGTACTGGCCAGCGTCTATGGAATGTCCCCCATCTGAGTGTACTTCAGGGATGAGGCAGCCTTCTTGTGGCACCCCATCAGGGGTGGGTCACATCCACACATCATTGGTAGTGTTGTCCTTTATCACTTGGTTAACTGGCACCTGCCAGTCTTCTCCATGGACTAGTGAATCTACTGTTTCTCCTTCCCAAGTCTAGTTTTGGGATACAAGTCACTAAGTCTCCCCCACCTGGGGGATGGGAGTGTGTTGTGGACTAAGCTCCACCACCTGGTAGAGGCAATATGGACACATTACCAAACCTCATTTTAAACGGTGGTTTATCTTCTCGGGGGGTCATAGATCCTGTTGAGATAAAGGCTGCATTTAAATTAGGCCTGGTTATCATTTCATGGGTAGATAATCTTCTGTTCAACAGTAAAATGTTCGTGTCCCACTTAAATCTGCTATCTTATTTCACATCTTGAATGTTCTGGCAATTTGTATGGGGTGTGGTGAGCATATATATGTGTGTGTACTTGTTGGCAAGGGGGTGGAACAGATACCTTTTCTAAAATGTAAAAACTTTCATGCAAATTTCCAGGCTGCCTAGACCATCTAATGAAATACAAAACTCAGTGCATCCAGGCAGGTAAGTAAATACAGCACTGGCTTTTGCTATGTGAAGGAACTCGTAACTTGAGCCAACGCAGCTCAGCCCATCTCCCATGAGGAATGGAGGCGAGGTCAGAGGGCTATGTATCCAAGCTGCCCGGGCAGTGAAGGCTGACCCCACCAGGGCTTTGCCCAATGAATTCCGCATCCAGTGTGTCCGAGGAAGGACAGACCTGAGTGGGTTTATGTAGTAAGCAAGTCACAGAACCATGCCACACCCTGGTGGCTAAACCAACATTTTAGCTCAAACCACATATGGGGGTGCTGATGGAAGGCCCTTCCTGATTGGAGGGGAGTCTGTAAGTCCTTCCATCTGCTCAGAACCTATATCTCTGACCTGTGGCTGTGGGGCCCTGGGAACCTGCTGTGTGGATTAGCAAACATTCCTGGTGGGATACTAGCTGAAGCAGTGACCTAAAAGCATGTTTTCAACCTGTGTCCTCACAGGGGTCACCTCTTACATGTGTGGCCACTAGAACCTGCCCCTACCCTTTCAGTTTTGAAATCAGTCCCAAGTGTCCACTTTCCAAGGATTGTAGAAGGACTTGTGTAATTTCTGGGTAATGTAGTCTGAGGACGCTCAAGAGGCTAGTGGTGTTTAGCAGAACTGGTCCCTAGCTTTTAGGCACCCCCATTCCACAAGGCATCCTGTGTACCCTGTCAGGCTGAGCAGCACATAGTCTCCTTGTCAGCAGATGTAGAGGACAATAGGGTGTGAAGAGGTCCGAGGACCTTGAGCCAGTCCTGGAGCTGCTCCCAAAGACCACCTGAGCCTGGGCCTGAAGTGGTCTCCTAGATGGGGAAACAAGGCATGCTATTATATATCATCACCTTCCTAGAAATGAACCTCCTGCTGATTTGCAAGACACATGAACTTGCAAAAAAACAACTATTTTCTCCTCATAGAGTAGTCCTGAAAACTTGTATTTGTTTTTTGTCAAGCCCTTTTGGGAACTTTAATGAGGGAAGAGTTCGCAGCTTCACTCATGTGATTCTCTCTGGACCGACAGGAAGTCTGTGGGATCCAAACATCACTGCTTGTAAGAAGGATGAGAAGACGGTAGAAGTGAATTTTACAACCAGTCCCCTTGGAAACAGATACATGGCTGTTATCCAAACTGAAACTGCGATTGGGTTTTCTGTTCTGGAGGTACTCTTTCCCTTCATTCCTTACCACCACCCCGTCCTCAGCCCCAGCTTGCCTTACCTGCTGAAGAACAATGCAGACACTCTAGGGTTCCTTTCTTTCGAGAGACCCCGGGGAGGACTATCTCCTGTCCAAGTGGGGTGGGTGAGTCCTACTGATTCAATAGACGAAAACAAGTCCCTGGGGCTTCCCTGGAAATGTCCCTGTGAACCTAAGTTGCAACCAAGGTAGAGGATCCGAAGCAGGAAAGGAACACGAGTTCATGTAGTCTAACGAACTAGGGGAGTTTGGGAAGAGTGGTTTCTTCACTGGCCGTCTTCAATCTACTCACTCACATGGCACATCCTTGATTTTGTCTCCCTTCTCTGCGCCAGAGCAAACTAACTCACGTTTCCGCCATGGTTCCAGTGACTGAGGAGAGTGAAGGTGCCGTGGTCCAGGTAAAGCTCAGCGAGGACTCTGGGAGGGGAAGACTGTTTCTCCACCGTTAGTGGCTTCTGATGAGTCCTTTCAAAGCTGTGGTAGTGAGTTCGCATCCTGTGCGTTTCTGCAGCTGTCTCACAGCAAGTGACGTCAATGGGAAACCCTTGGCTGCCTAGGAGTGGGGAGGTCAGGAGGCTGACCTTACAGCAATGGCCCCTTTTGCTTTTTTTTTTTTTATTAGTGGCTGCTGACGTTCCAAAGGACTTTTGTTTTCATTTTCTATCACAAAGTCTATGAGTAATTCTGACACAGGAGTACCATGTTATTTCCCCAAGCCTGTTTGGACTGCAGCATGAAGTAACAAACACTGTGAAATGCCAAGACTTGGGTTCCCGGTTAATGTACGAGCCTTGGAGGGTAGCTGCCTGCCCTTACAGGCCTCAGTTTACTCAGGTGGAGGGAAGTTGGACGAGCAGATGCTCTCCGGTCCCATTCAAATCTGAGTTTATGATGTGGGGCCGTGGAGGGTCTCAGTGGGGCACAGCCACACCTAAGATAGGAGGAGCTTTTGTTTTCTATTCCTTGGAACATAAAGGCAGTGCCCTGCCCTGCCAGAGGGAGCAGATACCTGTCCACACCCTTTTCCAGGGAACCAGACTTTCCTAGTCCCTAGTCCTATTGATTTCCACTTTCTTTCATCAAGTGGAAATGAACAGGAGCTCTGTTGCTGCTTGTTTGAGGAACTATTTGTGTATATATGGGACGTGACCTAACCCACATAGATATGGAAAGTAACATGATAGCAACATGTACAAAGTTTAGGTTCAGACCCCAGAAGACTTACAAGGTGTGTCAGTCTTGGGTCACTGGATTGGATTTTAGGGCTTTGTCACGGAAGTGTGACCAAGGGGAAAATGTCCTTATTATGAGGGGTGGGGGAGTGGGAACAGGGTTGAAACCAGAAAAGGGAGGAAGAGAAGTTTCGGGAGAAGTGGAAATCATGCTGAGACTCTGTTCCGACACCTGATGGGTACTTTCTGAGCCTCTCCTCTTCCCTCAGTTGACACCGTATTTCCACACCTGTGGCAACGACTGCATCCGTCGAAAAGGAACTGTTGTGCTTTGTCCACAAACAGATATGTCCTTCCCTCTGGATAACAGTAAGTGCCCAGTCACTGTCACCAGATGATCAAAGAGGTTCAGGACATGAGGGCCACTGTCACCACCCCCCACGAATCTGACAGTGTGTACATGGGGATGGGACAGAGTCCCTGCCTGTGGATGCTGAACTAGGGGGCAGGGAAAGATGTCAGAGCTGCCCAGAGCCTGTAGTTAGAATAAGAATGAAGGCTTTATTTATAAAACTACCCCAAGTCCTTTATGAAGCAGGATATATACAAAAAGGGGGGGAAATAAACAGTGCAAAATGGATGTTCAGAGCCACAAGGATCTGCTGAAAAAAAGGTCAAGAGCATAACAGGACTGAGTGAATAAGAGAATATGCATTTCCCTGCATTTATCTCATCTTCTGGTGGCCTAGGCCTGGCTGTGGCTATAACTTGATGGGGTCACATGGCCAACATTTGGATAACAAATTAGGAATACTGGCACCAGAAGACACGCCTCAATTGGAGTGGAGAGCAGAATGTTCTGGAAAATGTGTCTCCAGATTTAGAGAAGTTGGTGTTTCCATTTACAGATGGACAAATAAGATGTTCTGGAACTAGCCCAAGCGTGGAGTCAACACTTGACAAGTGTCCTTAGAAATGCAGCCAAATCAACTGAAGACAACCCAGGTGCCGAACAGTCCTGACTGTGTGGCCGCAGTGACTGTGGGCTCCTGAGCGCATCCGTGTGCCTGAGCTTACCTAGTCCTGGCATTCTGTGAGGGATGGCAATATCCCCCACATACCCAAGTCTTACAAATTAGCCTTTAAAAAGGCCATCTCTGTGTACTAGCTACTAAGTATGTGCCCAGAATAAAATTAATTCATCAAAGAACAAAACAAACAAAAAAACGAACATGAACTCTGGTTACCACGGTGTAAACATGGAGTAGGAAGCCCAAGTGATTTGAGAGGACTGTTCTCTGCCTCCTCCTATATCCCTCCTGAGAACGGAGTGAAAGAAAGATGTGGACACTGTAGAAAAACATACCATTCTGCAGACCTAGAGATCTAGAGGCCTTTGGTTTTAAAGGGGTCTAAACTTCTGCCAAGTATAGAGTAAAAATCTTAGTTTCCAAACAGGAGGCCATTGGTTTGGTTTTGTTTCTGCAGGCAGAAGCGTGCTCAATGGCTGGCTGCCTCTCCTCCTGGCCCCACTGGCCGCCCTGTGGATGCTGGCGGTTGGGATCTGTCTCCTGCGGAGGCATGGTAAGGGTAATAATGCCGTGCTTTAAAGAAACCTGGATGAAGAAATAACACTTTGAATGTTTTTAAAGGAGATTCTTCTAGAGCAGTACTGGTCGGCAAACAGCGGCTCACGAGCCACATGCGGCTCTTTGGCCCCTGAGTGTGGCTCTTCCACAAAATACCATGGCCTAGGCAAGTCTGTTTTGAGGAAGTGGCGTTAAAAGAAGTTTAAGTTTAAAAAATTTGATTCTCAAAAGAAATTTCAATCATTATACTATTGATATTTGGCTCTGTTGATTAATGAGTTTGCCGACCACTGCTCTAGAGGCAATCCCATTTTGGCACTGGACAGGACTCAGATAGTGTTTACTTAGTGCCCAGAGCTCTCTTAAAAACTGACGTTAACGACTGGGTCACATCTGCTGAGGTAAAGCAGGGACTGAATCTCCAAACCTGTGGCTATCATGTTTTATTTTTACCACTGAAGCATGGGCATGTACTGAAAAGGGCACAGATCGCTAATAAGGAATGGCACTGTACCTGTGACAAGTACTCTCTGCTAGTTCCTATTTTTAAAAATAATTCTTTTAAGAACAGTGGCAACTTAAGACTCATACACTCTAAGGACTTGCCAACATTAAAATACTGAGAACTGACTATAGAAACACGAGTACAAACACCCAGCTAGAGGGTGGCACACTGAGAGAGGAGGAAATAAAAAGGCAGTCTGCATCTGTGATGGTGTAGATAGAACAAGCTTAATCTTGTGACCGAGGCTAAGAAAGCTGCGGAACTAGGACCTCGGGAATATTTGTACTTAGAAGATGTTGTGTGGCCTGAATTAAAGAACTTTCAAAGATGGTTTCTGTTCTGTAGCACACATGGGGCAGCTTTCCAGCTCGGTTCCAGCTGAACAGGGGAGCCACTTAACTCTATGGAACTATAAAGAAATGCTACCACCTGCAGATAGAAAATGGAATTACTACTGAATTGACCCGAAATGTGAAGGGCAGAGGCCAGGATGTTTGTTCCTGTTTATATATGGTACTAATAATACTCCAGTTACAACAACCCACCTAAAACAGAATACCTCAAACCTATGAATTTACCTGAAAAGGTATCGCTTGACTAAGAGACTGATTTAGTGATAAGGACTTACAAAATATAGCTTTTACAACATCTTTACAGCTAAAGACTGCCATTTGCTGCTTATAGAAAACAAATTTTAGCTTTTCTCTCTCCACAGAAAGGATCAGTACTTCCTTCCCCACCACCACGCTATTGCCCCCCATTAAGGTTCTTGTGGTCTACCCACCCGAAATATGTTTCCATCACACAGTCTGTAACTTCACTGAGTTTCTTCAGAACCACTGCAGAAGCGAGGTTATCCTGGACAAGTGGCAGAGAAAGAAAATAGCCGAGATGGGTCTGGTGCAGTGGCTCACCACGCAGAAGCAAGCCGCGGAAAAAGTCATTTTCCTTCTTTCCAATGATGTCAACCCCGTGTGTGATGGCACCTGCGGCAAGAGCAAGGGCAGCCATCATGAGAACGCCCAAGACCTGTTTCCCCTGGCCTTCAACCTCTTCTGCAGCGACCTGAGGAGCCAGACTCATCTGCAAAAATACCTAGTGGTCTACTTTAGAGAGGCTGAAACCAAAGACGATTACAATGCTCTCAACGTCTGCCCCCGGTACTACCTCATGAAGGACGCTGCCGCTCTCTGCACGAAACTGCTCCACGCTGAGCGGCAAGCGTTGGTGGGGAAAAGGCTGAAAGCCTGCCACAGCCTCTCCTCCGTGTAGCCCACCCACGGGAAGCGAGAACTTGAAGCCTTCCTAGCCCTCGTTAGAAAAGCCTGTGTTGGTTCTGGAGTTTACTGTACAGACTACTCGTAGGGCGGATTGTATGTATATAACTGCGTTAGTAATAGGGAGGGCTCATAAAGGAACATATATGCCTTCGTCTAGTAATTAAAAATCTTATGTCACTCGTTACAAATATTACTGACTACTGTAGTATTAACTGAACGGAAACTAAACTTGTAATTATAAAGCTAAATCTATTTCATAACTACAATAATAGTTACAACATGAAACCGTACCATCTGACAATGCCTCTTCCTGCTGAACGTTCAGTCTTGAATAGACCCTGCCCTGCATTGCTGGCAGACATGTTTAGCTTTGTAACGTGCTAAGATTAATTAATGAATGCTAAACTTAGTAAGCCCTAGCTAATTCACTCAATTTTTTAGGGAAAAACGCGCTCTCACACACATCTTCATTTTTAATACAAATAGGAACAACTGGCTGGACCCATCTTTGCTGACCAGACGACCTAGTACATTTGTATCCACTTGTAGTATTTGGCGTTTTCATAGCACCTTCTCTCTCTGAAGTAGGTTCGTGTCCTATTTTCCTCTTGTATAGGTGCCTCTTGTACACGAACACCAAAATACACTTGCAGACCTGTAGTCTACTTTTGTCCAGTTACCTACGAGAGGTCACTGTCAGAGTTCAGAGTTTCTTGACTATGTAAATTTGTGTTTAGAACAAAAATAATTCCTATGTTGGAAGACAGCCCTCTTGAAGTAAACTTATAAAAATGAGTTATTATAATGGCTTATTAGGTAAAAACAACCTACCATAGAGTTACAGAATACAAGAGTTATGTGGTATTTTGAGACTTTATTTTCCTAAAAGCATCTTTTTTATCCTACGTCACCAAAAGGTTATATATGTTTAGCATATTTCTGGGAATGCCTGTCCTTTCACACAGCAAAATATTAAAGCACAGAAAGAAATCTCACCGTGTCCAGCTTCACCAGCAAATACTTAGTAATGACTCAGTCAATATGTTTAATGTGGCAAAAGTCACTTGTCAGATTAGTCTTCACAGTGCTTTAAAGTGCTGGTGATAAAAGACCGACATGGCTGTTAAAACTTGGACCAGAAGCTAACTTCCTCTGAATCAACACCTACCAATTATCAGAGCAATATGCTATTAGGTGAAAAACCATTGCAAACAGAAACAGCCCTGGCCCTGTGACTCAGTTGAGTGTAGTCCCATGCACCGAAAGGTTACTGATTCGATTCCCAGTTGAAGCACATGCCCAGGTTGCAGGCTCAATCCCTGATTGGGTACAATCCACCCTACAAGTAGCCTGTACAATACAGCCTTTAGGAGGTAGCTGATAGATATCTCTCTCACATAGGTGTTTCTCCATCTCTCTCCTTTCCTCTCTCTCACATCAATAAACACATTAAAAACAAAAAAAAATTATATTTTTGGAACTAAGTAGCCAATACTAAATTGTATTGATACAGCTCAGTAACATAAAATCTTATGTAAATGTATTTTTAAATAAGGTTTTAAGTCAAAGAACATACGACTTTCAAACTGAAGGCATACATTCCAAATAATACTACCAAGTTACATTTTGTTATACCCTCCCTTGTTCCTAACCTACTAGGCAGATACATAAAATACTCTTATTGTAAAATGCTATTACCAGCATTGCTCCATGTCTAAGGACTTACTATCATCCTTATTCTATATTCCACTCTTATTCACCCCGTAACTGTCCCTATGTTCGTCTTTGCCCCAGTCCCACCTCCAGTTCTTGGTGGTGAGATAGTGGAAGCAAGTGTGAGAAACTGACAGGAATCGGGCACTGCCCAACCCTGCCAGGTCTCTGAGCCCCCACGCTGTGCTCACTGACTGGCTCCGGTTCAGTTCAGCAAGCAAGGCCTTCTCTTCTGCTCAGGCTTCTCCAAGGCCTGGCCCTCTGGTGGTGACAGCTGTCTGCTTCAGACTGCTCACAGGTTAAGGTCAACTGACCACACTGAACACAAAGAACTCCAAATGTTTTCACTGGTCCTTCAGGTAAAGGGAATTGTTAGCAGTAATTGTAGCAGTCAGCCGGCTTAGCTGTACAACACATGCTAACAACCCTAAATTATACCAAAGTCATTCCTATTGGCCGTATCAAAGAAACAAAATTCCCTTTCCAGCTCTCGTTCTGTTTTGGTCAGATGATGACTGTTTTCTTTTGTTGGGTAACAAAAACAAGACAGCCCAGCTTTAAACCTTTGCCTTGACAAATCTAGACCTGAATCTGCCTTCATCATTTTTGTAATGTAACAGAAAAATTTTAAAAACAAAAATAAAACTTGTTCCTATTTTGAAATTCTGAGAACACACAAGTCACACGATGTGCTCGCTGTTCTAGCCAAGAGGGAAAATGTCATGACCACACAATGCATGCTCCCAAGTCACACCCCCCTCCTCAGGGATGCAGGAGACTGTCTCATGTCACTCAGAAGTCAACTGCAATGAAGAGCTTCACCACTCGACAATGGCTCAAGCTCTCACATCACTGAGGTTCCTGAGACCCTGAAAGGGGCAGGAGACACTAGTGCATTTATTCTCAAAGACAGATTGCAAAAGTAGCTTATAATTTCACAATAATGTCATATCCTCAACACAAGTTAAAATTCATTTATTTTCCCTGAAATTGAAGCACTTAGGGTAATAAATTTAAAAATATACATCTCTGTGTGTATATATATATGTATGTGTGTACATACATACATACATACATATATATATGTATGTATGTATGTATGTATGTATGTATATTCTCTAAGAGTCTTTTATACCAAGAGGCTTGTTTCGGGTCTCCAAGAGTGACTTTTCCTGTCCATTTCACCATACGAAGGCAGCTCGCTCTCGTAACATGCGGACACCAAAGCGCTGCCATTCTCGCTGGTAGATCCACAGTTCCTGTGTCGTATCCAAACAAGCCAGCACTGCGCCCCCTTTCCATGCGATCAGCCGAGGATCCATGTCCTAGAGCGGCAGTACAGATAGGTCAGCACAAACAGACAAGATGTCCACTCAATCATTTATTTGAATTTTGGGGTGGAAACTCCCCCTCCACTTCCCCACCCCCAAATGAGTTAATACCTGATAAGCCAGATTTTTAAACCTGCATTAAGGACTCTGTATCAACTGACAGGAAAACTTTTTAGTTTGTATTTCTACACTGCTATTATTCACCATTATTCCACAAACAGCTCTGAAGACAGAACATATGTAAGGAAATAACTTACTTTGAAATTGGGGTAGAATAAATATATCCCACAATCTCTTCCTCAGGATTAAAATTAAGTGAGAACATTTCCAGGAATTGTCAATGAGATAATGAAGCATAGGCGCAATTTGTTTCTAAATTCCTAGGTTTATATTTCAAAACAGCTGAAATCTAAATGATTCTTAACGATCACCTGGTCTAGGGACCAGTAGCAGACTCTCAGCATGAAAGATAACGGAGTCGTTCTGGCTGGTGGCATGACCCGGGCCAGTCTCCTCCAGGTCCCACCGTCCTACAAAGGCAGTCAGTCTTGCTAGCTTTGGAGAACACAGCAGGAATTAAAACCCAGAATCCAGTCCCCTTGCTCAGAGCTCCTTTCTCCACATCTGTGATCTGCTGTAAATAACATTTCCACTTGCCCCAAACCCTCAAGAACTCCCAGACATAAGACAATGACTGCCAGGACTTTATCTGTCCGCATACAATAGAATTAGAAATATGGAGGTTCCATTTGCACAGTCCATACCTTGGGCCTTGTGATGACTTCTACGTTTTCAATAATTCGCCTGAAGGAAGGCGGCATTTTGTTGAGAATTCTGTGCTGCAGAAATTCTTGTGCTTTATGAAACATCAGGCCACCTCCCACCACCAGGATGGAACTGTACATTTTCTTTTTGGTGTCATCAGATGCTGCAAAGACAGTGATAGCCCTTCCACGCTTTTTCTCCAAACCCACCCACCCTAGGCATACCCACCACCACCTCTTGCTTAGTTAGAAGATGCAAAAGCTCTTAAGGATCTCTCTCCACAATGCAGCCAGAGGAACCTTGTAAAACACAAATATGAGCATGTTGCTACCCCAATCCTGGTACTCGCAGCAAGATTCCAATCTCCGAGGAGCCTAAAAGGCTCCATGTAGCGTGCACTCACTTCTCTAGCCTCCTCCTCACACTGTGTCCCATTCACACTGGCCCTCATTCAGGCTTCTTCCTCAGCCTGAAATGCCACCCATCCGTGACTGGCTAACCCCCACTCACCACCCAGATCTCTCTCAAGTGGTTTGCTCAAACAAGCTTTCCCTGTCTCCCACCCTCCACACCTCTCCTATGGTATAAAACACCCTTATTAAATCCCTCATTCAGAAGCTCTGTCAGTACTGTTTAGTTCCATTCTTTACACCTGCCACAGTTGTAATTTCACATTTGTGTGATCATTTGCCTAATGCAAGCACAAGATAGATGCTCGGTTGTTTTTGAATGAGTAACGCTATGCTACACTGCACAACCATACCTAGCTTTTGCCAGTTCATGTAATTGCATCTCCCGGCCTCCCAGAATGTGCTTACAACAGCAGTCTATGCTGTGAAGGATGGCTTTGTCCAGGCCTAGGGCTTTCCCTTCAAACAGCGAGATGGCAGTCTTCCTGGACATCAGCGCGGTGAGGGCCTCCTCGGAGTCATTGCCAGCCATCAGACAGTCTGCCTGGGAGGACCCCAAATCCACCTCCTGGGAATGGAGTCTTTCTGGAAGATCCGAGGTCTGCCCACGAAGATCCCCTTCAAATCCAATGGGCTTGGATGCAGACTTGCGATCAGCAGTAGCTTTTGCAGACTTTAAATGAAAAGGACAATCAAGTAGATGGTATGACTAAGAGCGTGGTCGATGCTTTTCAACTAAACTCCCCTCCCCTTGCTGCTCCCTCACTATGCACATACACGAGGGCCTGCCACTGTGGTGCAGAGAGGAAATACACCAGAGTATACAACCAACCACCTGGAGTGAGTGATGACAGAAGAGGGGGCACTTCTACAATTCTAAAGCAGTCTCTGGCAGGGAGGGCAATCTCAGCACCTTACTATTACAGGCTGGATGTTAAAGTTGAGATATCAGTACAGACTAACTTTTCTCCTTGATCTGAGTTTTCAAGTAGAGTATTTCAGAGCAATTCTTGGGCCAGTCTTATGAAATCCTCATTTTCTAACCACCTTGTATTCACCTTTGGGGCAGGAATGAAGACTAGAAAATGCTACAGCCCTCTTCTCTTCACCTTGAGCTGCCGTTTCATTAGCAGATAACAGCTCTAATTTGTGCCCCCGCATCAGCCATCCTATTACTAGCATCAGCTCTGTGCTTATGCCACACAACTCTCATACCTTATAATTAAACAGAGATGAGGTTTTACTGAAAATATTTACCACAGATAAATATTCAAATATAACTCCCTTAAATTTACTTTCAAATATATGGACTGGTATTCTGAAAAATGGATGAATGCTTGCAGAACCAAAAAAGATCTGCCACCCAGATTTTAAATTTAGACTTCATTTCACCCACAGTTCTAAAACAGGATCAGCTTTAGCACTCTGTCAGATGGCAGGGACTGCACTGATCCATCAATTACGGGCCAGCTTCTCCTTCAGGGACAAACCGCCTCCTCTCACGCCAGAGCCTGCAGACCTGCTCTTGCTTGCTCTGTGTGGCCAGCAGGTAGTGTTCATCATGAGGGTCCTCGGGGTCACCCTGGGACCTGTGCTGCAGAGTCGTCATTTTTTGTCCAACGATTCCAAAGGTTGCTGGATAAAACAAAGCCATTGGAGCCTGCATGTGGAAGAAAAGAATAATCAGCTGAGATACTGCCTCTTGAAAAAAACTGACCCACTAAATTTTGTTCTTCCAAAAAATAAAGCTGGCAGATTAGATCCTAGAAGTTAAGATTGTGCAGTGTCACCAAGACCGGTTTGGTTCAATGGATAAAGCATCGGCTTGGGAACTGAAGGGCTCTGGGTTCGATTCCGGTTAAGGGCATGTACCTTAGTTGCGGGCATATCCCCAGTAGGGGGTGTGCAAGAGGCAGCTGATTGATGACTCTCTCTCATCGATGTTTCTGACTCTCTCTCTCCCTTCCTCTCTGTACAAAATCAATAAAATATATTTAAAAAAAAAAAAAAGATTGTGCAGTGTCCTTTTTGGGGAAAAGCATTATTTCTTCAATGCAGACAGGCAGGAAACTCACTTATCATCTAATGAATGGTTGCTATGATACCACAAAATCTCAAAGCAAATGTTACCTAGAAGAATGAGATCTCTCTCTAAATGACTTATCACGTAGTGACTAATTAAAAAGATGGTTCTCAAATCTATTCTAAAGTGAGTTAGTGAGCCGGGACCGGTTTGGCTCAGTGGATAGAGTGTCGGCCTGCGGACTGAAAGGTCCCGGGTTTGATTCCGGTCAAGGGCATGTACCTTGGTTGCGGGCACATCCCCAGTGGAGGGTGTACAAGAGGCAGCTGATTGATGATTCTCTCATCGATGTTTCCAACTCTCTATCCCTCTCTCTTCATCTCTGTGAAAAATCAATAAAATATATTTTAAAAAATATTTAAAAAAATCAATAAATAAAATAAAGTGAGTTAGTGAATAATCTACAACCAGTTCACATTCTGACCTCATGAGGTTTCCAGCATGACGTGGAAACCTGGCTGGCTTTCTTTCTAGCCGTAAAAATATATACCCACACATTACCTGGAGTTTTTCATCTCCCAATCGAAACTGGTAAAGCAGGGCAGGTGAATCTGGATGCCGAATCTGAAACTCATGGTCTTGAAGCCCAGAGATGTCCTGGTTCCAGGAAAAGATGCTGTCAGTGAATCAGTAAAAGCGCAGGTAAACTCCTCCAATTACAATGAAGCCTCCCTGCCATCTTAACCGCACCTATAAAAGGGCTGCCCTACAACTTTCTACCACACCCACTGGAACTTCATAAGAGCTCAATGGTGACTTGCTTTCTTTTTAACATTTGTGAAATTGACACAAATGTTAAATGTTTTATTTTCTTCATTATCAATAAAATCTTCTCTAATAAAATAGTAATATGCAAATTGACCATACCTCTGCTATACCCACAAGCACACGCACCAGCCACGCACACCAATCAGAGTGAGTATGCAAATTAATCCGAACCAAGATGGCTGCAGCCACAGAGAGCAGGAGGGAGGCTTGGGTTTCCCAGGCAATGGAAGAAGCCAAGCCTGTCCTAGCCTCGGAGCAGGAAGGCTTGGCTCCACTCCTGGCTACAAAGTTTCAATTGTAGAAGGTAAATAAATCCCAGATCCCAGGCCTCTGCTTGGGTCGCTGGGGGGCATGGCCAGCCTGCAAACCACCACAGACCCCACTCCCAGGTTGCCCTACACCCCAAGGGGACGCTCACCCAAACCAGCTGGCGCCCTCCCCCCCATGCACCAGGCCTCTATCCTATCTAATAAAAGTCTTTTGAAGATTAACTATTACTGAACACAAAAGATCAAGATAGTTGCACCATATGATCAAAGATCCTTCTCCCACATGGACACCAGATGGCCACCACAAGATGGCCAGCAGGGGAGGGCAGTTGGGAAGCACCAGGCCTGCAAGGGAGGGCAGTTGGGGGCAATCAACCCTTCAGGGGAGGGCAGTTAGGGGTGGCCAGGCCAGCAGAGGAGGGAAGTTGGGGGCAAACAGGCTGAAAGGGAAGCAGTTAGACATCAATCAGGCTGGCATGGGAGTGGTTAGGGGGTGATCAGGCTGGCAGGCAGAAGAGGTTAGGGGGAATCAGGAGACAGGCAGGCGAGCAGTTGAGAGCCAGCAGTCCTGGACTGTGAGAGGGATCCCAGATTGGAGAGGATGTAAGCTGGGCTGAGGGAATCCCCCCTATCCCCCAATCAATCAGAAAATGCTCTCAATAACTGAGAATGTTACCTAGCTTTATATTTCTCAAAAATTCTTATCAGAATTATATTACTTGAAAAGGTGAAAAAAATATCTAAAAGAGTATAAAAAGGTAGCAAACCATATATAGCAATGATAAAATGTTGACTTGTTCATAATCTGAGTAAGTGCTTCCAAAGGTGCCATTTTACTGTCTGTACCTACATATTACCTGCTACTATTCTTCACACATAAAGATTTAACTTCATCCTTCTTCAACCTTAAAGAGGTATCTGCTAAAATCTTTAAAAAGAACACACCCCGCCCCCCGCAAAAAAACAAAAAACAAGCCGTCTCCAGAGCCTGAGACACAGCTCTGACCTCACCAAAAGACTCACTCCAACAGGCTTCAGCTTCAAGATTTTATAAGCTTAAGCTGAAAGAGTAGCATGATATTGTTACATTTTTCCTGAAAGCAAAAATAATCTATTCTAATTTTGCTCCCACCTGATCCAAATGACAGAAAGTTTCCTTTAGGTGCTGCAGAAGAAGGCAATCCATTTTATTTGTCAATTGGCATTCTCTATAAGGGAATCCAGCTCGCTGCATCAGCCAGTAAAAACATCTTGATACGTCAGACCCTCCATATGCCAGACAGAGTCTAGAGTTAAGAGAAAGGGCAGATGGGTAATCTCTCAGTTCAGAAGGTGCAAAGAGTGATTCAAAAACTCTATTAGGCACAAAGAGAATGTTTCAAGAAATGTTTCTGTTGTAGGAATAAATTAAAAGAATGAAAGAACAGCCCTAGCTGGTTTGGCTAAGTGGATAGAGCGTCAGCCTGCAGATTGAAGGGTCCCGGGTTCGATTCTGGTCAAGGACATATGCCCGAGTTGAAGGCTCGATCCTCAGTAAGGGGGTGCAGGAGGCAGCCAATCAATGATTCTCTTTCATCATAGATGCTTCTCTCTCTCTCCCTCTCCCTTCTCTGAAATCAATAAAAATATATTTAAAAAAAAAAGAAAGAAAAAAGAATGAAAGAACAGATAAATGGATGGGAGGGAGAAAAGGAACTCTGGAATAAATTAGTGGCAGAGCACCTAGAAGCAGTCATGCTCTTTGCAAAAAATATCTAAAAAACAAAAAAACACACAATTAAGTCCAGCTCATTTCCAACATTCACCATTTGATAGTTGTTTGCCTATGTATATTCCCCAGCAAATAGAGGTGACAAACACCATAAGACAAAGTTATGGGAGAAATCTGTGAGGGTAATACCCACTAACTGAACGTGTCTACAATTTGGAAAGACCACTGCTACGCTGCTTAAGTGGTTAGAGAACTGCAATCCAGTGTTTTAACCTTGAAAACCACTGGTATTAGACAATATAAACAATGGATAAGCCAAACTAAATCATACTGGGCTTTAGAATGCTTTGTAACATGGGTTGGGAGGCAACACATTAACCTTTCTTATGGACTTCTTGGGACCTCTTTTGTATTTGTTTCTATACTTTGAGATTCACACTACCTAATGTAAGGGACAAGAATTCATGCTTCCTGGGGAAGCCATCTAGGAGCACTCAATGCTGCAAGGAGCCCACATGTGCACTACAGAGTGTGCTTGCTTACCCAACAGGCCTTGTCCTAGGAAGGACAAGCAGCAAACCTGCTAGTTATTTTATTGACTCTCCTATCAGCGATGACACAATAAGGGAATAACCACCATAAAGTTACTCACTGAACACCATTTATGGCAAGAAAAGCAAATACTCAAAATGCTAGCTAGAGAACTCAAACCTGAAAACCTATTTTCTCCTCCACAACTTGCCTAAATCAAGCTTTGTTGAGTGATTGATGTCTCTAGGCCAGACCACAGCAAAAGACACAAAGCTAACTTATACGCTTCCTCTGGGACAGTACAGCACACACTAGGACTTTCAGGAGCTGCTGATTGAACTTACACTAGAGAGTCCCAAAGGAAAGGGTAAAATCAGTTGTCTCTAGTCTTGCTAGAATGTGCACTTCCACAATATTGCTGGTTTCCTATGCAAAATCGGGATATACAATTCCTTACAAATAATTTCTTTCTGACTTGTGATGCTTTATAGCTGAACAGATTGTGAGGGGAGAAGGTGGGGAGTGCCACCTCCCATGTCCCTTACCGAGTATTCCGATGAGAAACTCCATCCTCCACACAGCATACACTTGTCTTCTGGTCCCCAACATCTACAATACACGTGCTGCTTAAACCACTTCCAAAAGTGGCACACACAGACTCCTGATGGACCACAATCCCTAAAGCAAAAGGCAAAAGAGCAGGGAGCTGAGGAGCAGCAACACTCCTAAAACAAATCATCAACTAAAGTCTAGGAACTTCTGCGCAAATATTCAAGTACAAGTAAGTATTTCAATAAAGCAGTAAAGTGGATTAACTTTGTCAGTGAAAAAGAGATTCTCATTTCAAGTAGGCTTCACTGGAGTATCAGACATACCTGAGAAACCCATCTTCATTAGGATCATATTCACTAATTCTTTCACATGCTGCTTATTATAAATATCAGGAATTAACAAGATACACCTATAATACTAAGAAGAACAAAGAAAAACATATTAAACATTTAACATTACAATCAGGTCAAAATACATTTCACCACACTTATATTCAAAGAGGAGTCTCTCTAAAGCAGAAGCAGTAATGGTTAAGAGCCACATCGGTTGAGCGACCAAGAATCTTAAAAACAATCCAAGTATGCCAAGACTGGTTTGGCTCAGTGGATAGAGCATCGGCCTGCGGACTGAAAGTCCCTGGTCAAGGGCATGTACCTTGGTTGCTGGCACATCCCCAGTAGGGGGTGTGCAAAAGGCAGCTGATCGATGATTCTCTCTCATCGATGTTTCTAACTCTCTCTCCCTCTCTGTAAAAAAAATCAATAAATTAAAAAAAAAAAAAAAAAGACACTCCAAGTAATTGGGAATCTGAGCTCACCTTTAAATCTTTCAATGGAATTTCCAGGTATTTTTGTATTGCATGAGACCATATTACTTCAATGTCTGCCAGAACAGCTGTAAGGGAGCCCCCAGGTCCTGGGTGAGTATTTAACTGCCCTCTTCTAATAGGCCAGTGGATATTGTAACAGTCCAGTGGATTAACATACAAGGCCTAGAAGACAGGGAGATGAACACATCAAAACTCTTCTCTCAGGTTTTCTAGATTCTCATTCAAAATCCTAAAGCTAGAAATTACCATTAACACTTGTTAAATGTTCTAAGTATTGAGGGCAGAGTATCTATTAATTCAAGAGCCAGTGTGACTATCTGGTCCTCAAAGTAGGATCAGGGAATGCCCGGGAACTAGAACTGGATGGGAAAGTAAAAGAATTTCAGCATTAAGATGAGTTTTCTTCTTCCATTTCACAGTAAAGAAGTTGCCTACCTCTTCTCCTACCAAAAATTCAGGGTGATGAGATGTGTTTGTCCATTTATTTCCAGAACAGTGATCTAAAATTGCAGGTCTCATCTGCTTGTTGTAGGAGCGTGCCTGAAATGAAAGTGCATCATTAATTCTCTGAATTTAGGCTAGGGAAAAGAAAGGGTGTGTAGTTGAGTCCTATTTTCTTTTCTCCCTCAGGGACCAGCTATAGTGGCAAATTTTAATCACAAACCAATATACTTGGGGGAATATTGACTGTAACAAAAGGATTCTCTTGCCCTTTTCCACAATCTAGATTTTCTCTGTGATTTATGACACCTAGGCAGTGATTCACAGCTAGTCCAAAATTAATACTGCACTCTACCTAAAGTTGAATACAAATTTACATATCATACTGACTCATAACCATTCCTAATTGTATTGGTTTATTGCATTAAAGTAACTATATGGTAAGACTACAGCTTCTTAGAATTATACACTTAAGACTCTCAGGTAAATTGTAAACTTTATCAACTTGTGACAGGAAATACCATCTTATAAATCATTTGGCTTGCCTAAGCATTTGTGACACTGATTCAGGTATTCAAGAGGTGATTAGGAACGGTTTTCCCTCCTTTTTAAAGAAATCTCTTATTGCATTTGCATAATGAAATGGGTAGAGCACTTGAATAGCATTATGCTATACTAACTGTGCAAAAAGAATAAATCTGAAGAGTTGAAACTGAACCTGTTCAGGGGACACAGGAATCCGTCTTGTACCATTTGACATCTTTTTAGACCATATCGCTTGATCCACCATTTTAAGACCATTTTGTCTTTGTTCGTTACTTTCAGGTTTCTGGGAAAAAAGAAGGAAAGATGAGTGGTACAAAGGACTTAGTGAAAAGGGAAGGCAACCTAGCAAAGTATCGATAGTACTAATTTAATGCAGCAATGGGAAATGCTCCCTCGTCAACAAGTAGCTTCCCTAATCTGTTGTATGTAGTAATCTTCAGAATTCAAAGTAATCTTTATGTCATTTATAAATAAAAAATGTAAAAGAACCCTCACTATAAACCAACTATTGGCAAAAATCTACAACTTTGAGTAACTTTGGGTTGGATAAAAAAAATTTCATAATACTCACTAATCAGAGCGTAACTATTTTTGCGTTTACAAAGGATTTCAGAGACTCATATAATTATATCATTTCCATGTTGTGAATTTGTAACAATATTATACTTCTTTATGTGTTATTTTGCTTAATCAACAAGTGTTCAAATTACTATGATACTGTAAAGAACATATTCACACATTTTTTGTAGAAAATTTTATTTTCTTTCAATTTTTATTCTCTAAAGTCAAATCACTCAATATGTGAGTTTTAGGTTCTTATGTTATTAGGTTATATGGACTTAAGTAAAGTCTGCTAGATATGCTAAAAAATGGAACCCTAAAGCTTATCATCAAAATTACAGAAACTGCAAGTTCCTAAAACTACCCTTGATTTAAAACTTAAAAGTGGATTACAGTGTAATATACACATTTAACACTTATCACAAACTTTCTGATAATTACCATTGTAAAATAGGATAAAGTAAATATTTACTATGAGGGAAATACATTTTTGCCTTTAAATTATTATTTGACCTAAGATTGTAATAAGTGCTTTGTATAGAAATTCAATTTGCTTATGAATTAAAACATGAATTTAAACTCCTCTAACTATCTGGAAAAAAAAAATATCTGAATGCATCATTTTAAGTAACTGATAAGTTTGTATCTTCCTTTAAAAATCACTTTCCTCAATACCCAATTCATCCTAATGGTTTAAAAAACAATTGAATTGCTATATTTACTTCTTTACAATTTAAAGTTGTTAGCTCGGATGAAAAATGGTATTTGTAACCCCGAATGATGCTAGTATTTAAAAACATAAAGCTGTGAAGGTGTTTATTCAAGATTATGCATATATTTGAATGTCTAAGGCTTCCCAAGGAGACAGCCTTGGGCTTTCTCTCCAGGCCCTCCGTTTCTAACTTACATTCAGTCCTTCCCTTAGGAGCCAGTTGTCTCTGTACAAGGGTTGCCCTTGTTGCTTGTGTCTTCGCGCAATGACATGAGGAATGCTGATAGGAAGTGTGTCTGTGGCTCGACCAATCCTTAAGGTTGTTGAACCCGGATGTATGACAACAATGAAGTTGCTCTGGATTTGCTGCAAATATAAAGAAGTGTGACCTTAGTTAGGTAATACACAGGTAACAAGTTAAACAACGTTCAGGTAACAGGATAGACTAAAAGAGTTAGTTTCCTGTAATGGTCATCAGACTCAAAGGTATCAAAGTTAATTTAGTACAGGGAGTTCTTTGAGAAGCATCCAATTAACTGATCTTTACCTGAATACAAAGTCATCTTATAGTTTGTATTCCCAGGATCTAAGTACAAAGCCCAACAAATATTTGCTTAAATGAACAGAACCATGATTATCCAATGCAAATTAACCTACTGGGCATTTCTGTGCCAGGCACAATGGTGACCAAGACAAAGTCCCCCAAATCAGAGAACTTTCCATTTACTAGGGAAGATAGTTAAACCACGAATAGGGAAGACTCTGATTAGTGAAGTTTGGGGTTTCCTACATCTGAATCACCTAAAGATGCTTGTAAAAAAAAAAAAAAAAAAAAAGCTCTCTACACTCTCACTACAAATTTTGTTCAAGATGAGATAAACTTAATAGCACAGATGGCTCAGAGGACATGGGTGTGCCTAGCCGGTTTGGTTCAGTGGTTTGAACATTGGCCTACAGACTGAAGGGTCCTGGGTTCAATTCTGGTCAAGGGCACGTACCTGGGTTGCAGGCTCAATCCCCAGCAGGAGGCAGCTGATTAATGATTCTCTCATCATTGATGTTTCTCTCTCTGAAATCAATAAAAATGTTTAAAAAAAACAAAGGGTGTTAAACAGCTGATTGGAGGTCAGGAGATGTTGCTATAGTGATAAGAACCCAGGCTCTGGATTCAAAGACCTGGCTTCAGCTGAAGCCGGTTTGGCTCAGTGGTAGAGCATCGGCCTGCAGACTGAAGGGTCCTGGGTTCGATTCCGGTCAAGGGCATATACATTAGTTGCAGGCATATCCCTGGTGGGGGGTGTGCATGAGGCAGCTGGTCGATGTTTCTCTCTCATCAATGTTTCTAGCGCGCGCTCTCTCTCTCTCTCTCTCTTTCTCTCTCTCTCTTCAACAAAAAACAAAAACAGAAAAACAAAGACCTGGCTTCAAACCAGACTGTGCCCCTTCTTTGGTCTGCATGAAGTTTCTATCTCATACAGTAATTGTGAAGAATAAATGACTTAATGCTGTCAGCGCTCAGGTTAGCTAGCTCTTCCAAAGTTCTCCACTGCCTTCAGAAGTAGCAGCCATTCGCTCTGGCTTGTATGACCTTCATGATATGGCCCCTGCTAATACCTCCATTCTCATGTCTCGCTCCCTCTTCTCCCTCAATTCCAGACATCCGTATCTCTAACACTTCATATCCTCTCAGCCCACATCTCTTCCCTCCCTGAGATTTCCACCTCCCATCCCTTAGCTAACTCTAATCATTCTTCAGATCTTAGTCCAGATGTCACCTCCTTTGCAGAAACCATTCCTGACCATCAGGGCCGGAGGAGGTACCTGCTGTGCTGCCCAATACTTCCTGTGATGCACTAGCCCACCCCACACCATGCTCAGATACCAGTGACCCCAACAGTCAGCGCTCCTTCAGACCTCCCCGTCAGAGTGGGAGAATCCTGGAAGGTGGGACCCAGCAAGCCCTTACAGACCCAGCGGTCTGCCTCTGAGCTTGGTAAGTGGAAAGACTGAGCCGTCAACAGTAATAACCACCTGAGGCTGACCAGCTGCCGGCCCTGGGCCATGTGCTTCCAGTTGCCTGGACAGCTGGGCATCATCCTTCTCTGTCCCCCCAGGAAGAAACCGGCCTCAGAGGTGTCCACCAACAAGACCTGAGCACTGACATGCCTCCTGATTTCTGCTGTGAATGTACATGACCTTTGCCCATTTTCCTATGGGAATGCGGGTGTTTTCCTCACTGATTATTAGTAATGTGATATATATATATATATATATATATATATATATATATATATATGTCACATCACATGGTCTAACTTAATCTTGCTTTTCACGGGTGTGTGTGTGGATTAAATAGATGGTACTGGGATCGGTCCTGCCAGCAATATACTGTTTTGGGTGGGTGAGTGAGTGTGTGTGTGTGTGTGTGTATACGTATATAAAGGTCCTTTGCTTACCATTACTGCAAATAATTTTTTTCTGGTCTAACTTAATCTTGCTTTTCACACACACGCATCCAATGTCTATTTACACAAATGTCTACCTTTTCGTTGCTTTTATGCTTGAAATGACCTCCACTAACTGAGTCTTTTTTAACACTGAAAAAGGCTGAGCCTCTAACTGCCCCGTACTAGGGTCGGCATGCACTCCCTGTGGCCAGGGCGCTCAATAGTGCGTGCGACCGCCGCGCCCTCACCGGACTCGGGGGGTGGGTGACGGCCGGTCCCGTTTCAGGCCGGGAGGCGGCGGCTCGCTCGGCGGGGACCCAGCGCACCACGACCCGGAGGGAACGAGACCCCGGGGCCCCAGGCTTCCGTCGCAGCCAGCCCCGCAGCCGCAGCGGATCCGACGCGGGGAACCCACCCTCCCAAGCCCCGCCCTCGGCGCCTCACCTCCTGCAGCGACTCGGGCACCTGCGCGGGCACGATGGGCCGCTTCACCCCGCGCTGCTCCTTCTCCTTCTCCCCGCCCTTCTCCTTCCCGTTTTCCGCGTCCCCCTTCTCCGCCTGGGTCATCGCGGCGGCAGCAACACCGAGCTCCTAGCTCCCGCGCCGCGCCAGCCGGAACTGAAGGCTCCCACCCCCCGCGCAGGCGCAGTCCCCGGCCGGCCGCCCACAGTCAATATGGCCGCCAGGGCGTCGCCCGCAGCATCCCCGGAAACGGAAGGGCGGGCCGTCAGCTGCGGGTTGGGCTAGCGGGTGTGTGCGGATTAAACAGAGGGTACTGGGATCCGTCCTGCCAGCTATATCCGGTGTTTGAGTGCTTACCATGGACCAGCCATACCGGCATCTCATTTCGTCCTCACACCCGTCTGTCCTGGCAAAAGGATTCCCAGACATCAGGCATGGCTTCTCCTATTTCACAGGCCCTGCTCAGTCAAGCCAGACGTTAGGGTTCTCTGGAGCTGGGCCTCCTCTCTACGCACTTCTTGGATGACCTTATCCAGTTTTATGGCTTTAAATATAAAGATAACTCCCAAATATATATTTTCGGTGTGGAACCTTTCCGAGATTCATTGATTATTTGGTACCCCCATTTGGATGTGGACAAGGCATTTAGGTCCAAAATGGAACTCAATTCCCTACACCGTGTCCTCCCACCGCCCCCCTCCCCCCAAAAAAACCTACTCCCACTTTTGCCATCTCTGTAAATGTCACTTTAATATCCCCATTTCATGGCAAATAGGGTTGAATAAACTTATACATGGATATAAAAATTCTTTTATCTCAACACTTATCTCAGTTACAAAGTCTTTTAAACATTTTAAGTAGAATTATCTGTATTATTCATTCTTCCAATAAATATTTCAGTGCCTATTACATGTCACTGTTCAAAGTACTGGGGTAATGACGACAAAATCTCTAACCTCATAGAGCTTCCATTTTGGTGAAAGAATGTGAGTTACCAGCATTCCAGATAAGGGTTAAAGACAAAACAACTCTTTAGAATTCAAATTTGTCTATATAGCATTGAAGTTTGTATGTTTAAGGACCATTAGTCTTGATTTTGTAGCTCAAGTTTTGTTGGTTATGGCTTTATAAATACTCTGATAATTGTATATAGCAGCAAATCAAACACCTTGTATTAAAGACTTCCGGGACAAATGTTTTTATATAAAAATCAAAAACACAGATATAAACACTGAAATAAATTCAATGTGATTTATTTATAAATGAGAACCAATTAACATGAACTACTTCCAGAAGTTGAAAAAGGACACCAACAGTACTAAATACATAGCCTTTTAATTTTCTTCAAATTCGGAGTTTTAATTATATAAAGATGAGCAGTCAATTATGTAACCTAAAAATATTTACTTATTAAACTATATTAATACTTTCAATAAACTATACAAAAAGATGAGACAAACATGTGCATTTATAGAATTGCATGTCAGTCATGCCAGATCCCTGTGAGGGAATTCCCAACACGACTTCATTCGTCTGTGAGGACACAGAGTAATTCTTTAGACAGACACATTCATTTACTTGTCCAGCCTGGTCAGCCCTCCACTGCTTGATGGTTTCCTTCCGCTATGAATGTGCGTGTCCAGTTGTCTGCTTCTTAGAGCAGACATTTACCTAAAAGAAAGCGTTATAATAATTAGTTGCTAGTTATTCATTCAGATCTATCTGAAAAATCCAACAATCATTTCATGTTATAAACCGGTTTCAGAAGATATTTTCATAATAAAGGCAAAGGATTTTTCAAGGATTAGAATAGAAATATTTTTCCAAATAATGTTAGGCAACTTCTACTTTCTTAAAAACCTTCCTAAGGAGGCATTTACAAAATAAAATCCCTGTAGAATAATTTCAAATTTTAAGTTACCTTCCTCATCCACCAGCCATTGGAGGAGGACTGGGGCCACGCAGATGATTAATTCGACCCATTCTTCGGGGAGGGTTTCCTGGGGGCCTAAGGGGAAAAAAAATTAATTTCTACTGTTTAGCAGACATCTTAAATGGGTTCCTTTTAAACACTCAAATAGACCCTTTTATTTAAAATACCATTTAGCTAAAAAATTCCAACTTTGACAGGGGCCAGACATAAATTGAATGAGAAAAGTGAGTCAGGCAAGGACCACGATGAACTAAGCGGCACTTCCTGTAAACACCCAAATAAAATCCAGCTCCAGTTGATTTTTGCCACATGGAAACACAAGCCTAACCCCCTACTTGATCTTCTGAGTTCTTCATTAGCAGCTTGAAATCTAAAGCGAAATCTCTAGATTTCAATGTGGCTCTCAGTTTTCATCCTCTACCTTAGATTTCCCATCAGATATATGTTGTACATTTTAGTTTTGCCAGGCTATATTATCAAATCAGAGGCAACTTGACTTATTTATAGTAACACATTAATTTTGTAAAATAGAATTTAAACCGTTAATTTCTATTAAGCCTGTCTGTCTATCTAATCAACCGAATGTAATCTGATTAAAATATACAGAAGGGTAAAAAAACACCTATTATCAATTTAAAAAGCTATATCCTCCTTTGAGGCAGAATGGAAACCTGGAGAAATAAGCCAGTTAGAGAAAGACAAATATCACATGATCTCACTTATATGTGGAATCTAATAAACAAAATGATCCAGAAACATGGAAGCATGGAACAGACTGATGAATCTCGGAGGGAAAGGGAGGGTGGCAGGAAGAGATTAACCAAAGAATTTAGATGGATGCATGCATAACCCATGGACAGATAATAGTGCAATGAAGGTAAGAGAGGGGGTGAAAGGAGTCAATGAGGGAAGGAAAGGGGGACATCTTTAAAACTTTCAACAATAACAATAAATTAAAAAATAAATAAATGACTAAAAAAATAAGTAAAATAAAATGAAGTGGGGGTTAAACTACCACGATCTTGGAAGTTTATTCATTTTCCCCTCAGAGTTAAAGATCTAAGAGATAAATATTATAGATATAAAAATAAATAAAATTAAAAATTTGTACCCTCTTCCATCATCATATCTGGAATCAGATGAGTTTCCGTAGCCTCTTCCCTTTCTCACATCTTGCTGAAGCAGAGTTTTGAAACTGAAACAAGGGGAAGAAAACAATAGAAGAACCACTTTCAGCATTATAAAATATATTTCATGATTTCGACTACCATCTCTGAGTGGAGTTAGCTCCAAACCCACATTTTGAAAAGCCATCGTGACACCATCTAACATGAGCACTTGTCTAAACAGGGTTCGCTATGTTCGGTGCCAAAGCCGCCCTTCCTTATCTTCTTATTTGCTGATAACTCTCCTAGACAGTCATCCCAACTTCTTCCTCTACAACAGCTGTCCCGCCTCAGTCTGTTTTTAGAGTATTGCACATTCATTGCTCTTGCATTTCCCCCACCAACAGCCTACCTTCCATTACCTTGGAGAGGGAGGGGCTGACAGTGGTATGCCAGAGGTACAGACTTTCTGGGAATCCATTTAAATGAAATTTTATTTATGAAGGAGGACGAATTTAATTAAGTTAAAACTATTTTTATCAGCCGAGACTGGTTTGGCTCAATGGATAGAGCGTCGGCTTGGGGACTGAAGGGTCCCGGGTTCGATTCCGGTCAAGGGCATGTACCTTGGTTGCCGGCATATCCCCAGTAGGGGGTGTGCAAGAGGCAGCTGATCGATGACTCTCATCGATGTTTCTAACTCTCTATCTCTCTCCCTTCCTCTCTGTACAAAATCAATAAAAATATATATAAAAAAAAAAAAAAAAAAAAAACAAAACTATTTTTATCAAACAATATGGAATAGGTAAAATTTGTAAAACTATAAAGTTTTGCCCTGAGTAAGTTAAGTTGGAGCTGTCGCTTCCATTTTATTCTTTCTAATTTATGATACATGCAGCTATCAGATTAATCTTCCTAAAACATAGCAATAATCAAAGTATAAAGATCACAGACTGATATTCAAACTTCTTTGCCACTTTTCCTATGTTTCTCCCACGTGGAATAATTGCCTCTGATGTCCACCTCCCATAATCATGCCTACCATTCCCCCATATAATATAAAGACATTTACTTTAATTAAAGTCAATGAAAGGACTGTCTCCTACATCTACGACTCCCTATATTTCTCCATCCACAAGACATTCAAATATATATTCAAAGTTAGGATAAGTAAGACTTGTTAGTAGTTAATGGATACTTTTTATAAAATACACAACAGGTGAAAGACCAAAAAGTGCGTGTAAGTAAGAATTGCTTGAAATTATGGTGAAGTTTAAATTTTTCTCCTCTGTATTGATTTTAACCTTTAATTATTGAAAAAACAAAAACAATGCCCTAGCTGGTTTTGTTCAGTGGATAGAGCATAAGCCTGAGGACTGAAAGGACCCGTGTTTGATTCCCAACAAGGGCACATGCCTGGGTTGTGGGCTTGATACCCAATAGGGCGTGTGCAGGAGACAGCCCATCAATAATTCTCTCACATCATTGCTGTTTCTATCTCTCTCCCCCTCTCCCTTCTTCTCTGAAATCAATAAAAATATATCTTAAAAAATTAAAAGACAAAAAACCAACTTTGTATAATATTGAATAAAATTTGCACATACACAGTGAAGCTGGGAATAGACAGAAAGTGGGATGCTGTCATTAGGTATTAGAATGGGCAGGCCTGGCTCCAGATCTGCAGGTTGATATGATTACCATCAAGACTAAGGTATAGTCAAGCTTACCAACTCAACTAACATATTCATAATCATGTCTGGTGGCATTTCCTTTAGTAAAGCTATTAATTTAGAAAACATTAAAAACTGCTTCAGGAAAGCTGAGCTTGTTTATGTTATGTACATAATGTTTCTAATGTACCTAAGTATCAGGGCTGTTAAGACTACTGCTATACTTACAACAAAACCACGAACTCAGCTATTCCCCAGAAGAAATCTGTTATCAAAGATAATCTCCATGGGGACTGACTCCTGCTGTCCAACACTTGTCCTACAGACAAGAATAAAGAAACTTTAGTTAGTACTACAAATTCCTGACAAAAGATACATTGCATTTAATAAGTTAAGTAACAATCATAGATTCTGTTTTCAACTTGTCTATTGTTCCAAATAGTCAACAAAAAAGAGAGGTTTGTTATACATAGCATTCTAAGAAAGGATTAAGAAAAGTAACTCTCTGTTACCTAGGGGCCATTCCCTTACTATGTCAAATGCTCTCCTAAAATTTGTAATTTTGGGGGAGGATCATTCAAGTATTCTCTTTCTCTTTAAATGTGGTAAAATATATACATACAAAAAATCTACCATTTGAAGTATACAATTCCACAACATCCTATCCTTCCTATATAATAAAAGTATAATATGCAAATAGACCGAACAGTGGAAAACTGGTCCCTATGACACACACTGACCACCAGGGGCAGCGCCACTCAACCAGAAGCCAGGTGCAAGGCTGGTGAGCCCAGTGGTGGTGGCAGGGGCCTCTCCTGCCTCTGCTGCAGGTGGGTGGTAAGGAGTGAGGGATCCCGGACTGCGAGAGGGATGTCCGCCTACCTGTTTAAGCCTGATCCCTGGGGGAACAGGCCCAAGCTGGCAGATGGACACCCCCAAGGGGTCCTGGACTACGAGAGGGCACAGGTCGGACTGAAGGTCCTCCCAACCCCCACCCCAGTGCATGAACCTCATGCACCAGGCCTCTAGTTAAGAATATTCACGTTCCTATATAACCATCACCACCATCCATTGCCAGAACTTTTACATTGTCCCAACTGAATCTCTGTACACCTTAAACACTAATCTCCTATTTTCCCTTTCCCCAGCCCCCTGTGAACTTTCTGTCTCTGTGAATTTGACTACTGTACATACACAGTAGGAACCTCATGAGGGCTCATACAATATTTGTACTTTGATGATCAGTTACTTCACTTAGCATAATGTCTTCAAGGATCACCCATGTTTAGCATGGCTTAAAATTTCCAGCTTTTTTCAAGGCTAATTAATATTCCATTGTATGTGTGTACTACATTTTGTTGATCCATTCACTTGTTGATGGACATTTGGATTGCTATTGTGAAAATGCTGCTAAGAACATGGGTGCACAAGCATCTGTTTATTCAAGTATTTTGAGGAAACAAATGGGAAAAATGTAATAGAATGCTCACATCACTTCAATTTTTCTAAATGTGTTCAAGGTACTCCTTTTCACTTGCAAAGCCTCTTGCCTGTATAAAAAGACTTTATACATACTCTTACAGGTCTTAGTTTCAGTTATTTCAATAAAATTTTTAGAAATAAAAAAAAATCTGTGTGCTCTAAGTATTGAAGAGAATTTGACTTATTCATTAAAATGACTTTTTCTGGCCCAAACCGGTTTGGCTCAATGGATAGAGCGTTGGCTTGGGGACTGAAGGGTTCGATTCTGGTCAAGGGCATGTACCTTGGTTGCGGGCATATCCCCAGTAGGGGGTGTGCAAAAGGCAGCTGATCGATGACTCTCTCATTGATATTTCTAACTCTCTCCCTTCCTCTCTATACAAAATCAATAAAAAATATATTTAAAAAAAATGACTTTTTCTGTAAAAAGCTATGCATTCTAGACTTCAGCTTCATCTTAAGCAAAAGAGGATCTATTTTTCCAACCACTTAAAAATGATAAAAGCTACAACCTGAAAAGTTAGTACTCTAGTTTCAGCCTTGCAAATCAAGAGGTCAAAGGATTTCAGAAGAGCTGTCTGTCAACTACCTCTCCTTATTTCCCCTAGAATTTCTCCATGCTTTTTACTGTCCCTCTTTCCTTGACCAGTTGACTTTTGGGTGTGTCTAACACACAGCTATTGAGAAAAAAGGGCCACACTTAAAGACAGAGCCTGGGTGACAGGTTTTGCCCCTTACTGGCTCTGCATCGTTGGTTGATGTGACATTTTCCTTCTTTGAGAAAAAAATATTTCAGGGGTAATCATATAGAATTGTTTGGGAAGAAGTAACTTGACAGTGAGAGACATGTCTTGTCAACTATTAGGTGCTGAGGAGTACGGAACTCCTAGGAAAATAGATCTAACTGGAACCCGTCGGTTCTTCCTGAGTGATTCGAAGGAACCTATTGCAGGCACTTGCATCATTCTTGCACTTTCTCTCAGTTTCCAAAGGCAGAAACCTTTCCTCCTAATATCCTTAGAGGGAAATGAGTTGTTTGGATGCAAACTGGCATTTCCCAACTATTCATGAGAAATAAAAGTCCTTTATGTTATTTAAATGGATCAAATATGACTATACATGCACCATAACGCACCACAAACACGAGGCATTATTCAATAATGCAGCTATAGAAGCAGCCAACCTTAATCACAAAGGATAAGACACCAAGTTTGCAAGTGCCAAAACCAAGATGGAGCTTTCACTGTCGTGTGTGTCCATCAATGCTACCTGTTTCCAAGCGTGTTAAGTGGGAGAAAGGAGAGATTTTGCAGAGCAGAGAAATGCAAAGTCGCTGACGACCTTAATGATCTCTGAAGACAAACAGATGACTCAATACAACCAGCCATCCATGAGCTACTCGTTAAGACCGCACCTCGGCATTCATTTCCCCTGAATCAAACAGGTGGCCGCGGCGCTGGCACTGTTCTGACCCAGTCCCACTACTGCCTTTGCTTTCCAGGCATTTTCTTTGTGAAGTCGAAGAACTGAAGTCTCTCTCCGACTCTCTATTCCAGGCCTTAATGAACTTCCTCTCTCGAGGGACAGCTGCTGCTTCCCGTGCCTCTTGAAACCAGGCAAAATACTACATGGATGACTAGGTACCCTCCCCTGGGGAAAAGGCCCACCCAGATCGCTCATCCACTCCTCTCAGATCAGTCAGTTCCAGAAAGGAAGGCGGTGCGCCCGGTAACAGCAGGGACGCTGACGTAAGCCACCTCGGTTCGAATCCGGACTGAGCCGTTCACGACCATTGTCATCCCGGACAAAGGAATCTACCGCGCCTTGGTCTCCACCCGTAAAGGTGGGAAGTTAAAATATCAGGGCTGTCAAAAAGGCTGGATGAGATGATAAGCGAAAAACGCTAAAAGTGTCGGAGGCACAGGCGCTACGCAGATGGCGTTAAAGCTGTTGTCACTATTTAAGGACACAGACACCCGAGACTCAAGTCCCCTTCCCGAGACCCACAATAAAAAATAAATAAATAAATAAAAAGTCAGAAGCCCGACGAGGACGCCCGGCCCGGCCCGGGGACCCCGGGGGCCTCGGCCCTCGCCCACCCGCGCCCGGACGGGCTGCTGAGGCGCCGCAGGCCGGTGACTCCGCCTCCCGCTGCGTCCGGCAGCCGCGCCACGTCCCGAAGAACCGAAGCACCACGGGGGCGCGGGCCGCGGCGACGCTGGGAGAAACCCCGGCCCGGCCCCGGCCCAGCGGCCCGGGCAGCCCACCTCCCCGCTCCGCTCCCTCCGCTCACCGTTCGCGATGTAAACCATCTTGATCCTCGAGCCCCACCTCCCGGGCGACCCAGCGGCCTCCCAAATACCGTTCGGCCTTCGCGCCCCGCCCCTCCCCTGACGTCACAGGCACGCGTGACGAAGGGGGAGGTGGACGAAGCCCATTGGCTGCGGGAGACACGCCTCCGATTGGTGTTTTTGCCCCGTCATGCCGCCGACTTCCGGTAGAGGGGGCCCGCCCGGAAGGGGGCGGAAGTGACGCTCGGGGATGATTCCGTAGGCGAGGTGCTCAGGCTCCCCTTGGATCCGGGCCTCCTCGCAATGCCGCCATGGGAAGAGAAGCTGTTTTCAGTCCTCCGAGGCCCAGTCCTCCGAGGCCCAGGGTCGGGGGAGGCCTGGTTGCCACCCGCAGGGGGAGGGCCGCTGGCGCACAGGAGTTCCCCCGAATGTTTGAGAATTGTTGGAGGAGGGGTGGGGACCGCGCTGTAGGGCTTTGTGGTTTTTAAAAATATATTTTATTGATTTTTTACAGAGAGGAAGAGAGAGGGATAGAGAGTTGGAAACATCGATGAGAGAGACCCATGGTTAGCTGCCCACATCTCCCTATGGGGGATGTGCCCGCAAGCAAGGTACATGCCCTTGACCGGAATCGAACCTGGAACCCTTCAGTCCGTAGGCCGTCGCTCCATCCACTGAGCCAAACCGCTTTGTTGTTATGCCTTTGGAAGTACCCGGACAGGCACCCACTAGATGTATTGATTCCGTTTGTGGACGAAAAGGGCCACATACTAAACCTGACACGCTCCCGGGAGGCCTGCATGGCGGGCCTTAGACTCAGACCTAAGTGGGTCTGCATATGGTCTGAAATGAAAACTTACCAATTTAAAGCAAGTCATGCGGGCATTCTCATCCTGGGCCTAGGCCGGTATCCTCCCTGACAGGTGGGTCTTTACCTTAAGGGATCCCGTTTATTGGCTTTTTGCACCAAGGATAGCATACCCTTGAAAGATCAGAGTATTTCCTTTTCCCAGGCCCCTCAGGGCGCAATCCCTGAACCACAGTGGGTGACCACAGAACTCCTCATTGTTGCTTTATCTCTATGTGCTTTTTTGTACCCAGCACTGTAAAAGAAATGTGTCTTTCCATTTTTTTATCCAATCCCAGAGACACCGCCCCCCTCCCCCTGCCCTGCCTTTGCGTTCTCCATACCCTCCAGTGGATTTCATGTAACTCCCCTTAGGGCTTTCCTTTGATTGTAATGTGTAAAATAAGCAGTAAAGGTGCCATTCTCTAAGCATTTTCTCAATCCGTTGAGATTTCTGTACCCTGGCAATTGTCATCAGTTTGACTCAAACTGGTAAAATTTTCCTACAGGTTTAGATGATTTTTAAACCAGTGTTTCTATTCTTGGGTCACCAGAAGTAGCTGGTGTTTTTTATCAGCTCTTACTGAGACAGGCCAGTAAGCCGGGACAAGTGGAATAGGGAAACTGAGACAGATGAACAAACTGGCAGAGCAATTTACAGCAGACACAGAAGGTCATGCCCCTAGAAATAACATCTAGGCTCAGGCCCAGAAAAACCTCAAAACCAGGTGGGCGGACACCAGGACCAGCTGCAATGAGGGATTGATCCTCTGCCTTGACACTGACCAATCAGTGAAGACCATGCACCTGGAAGAGCACACCTGGAAAACTGATGAATATTCTGCTAAAACCTTCCTGAAACCTACCCTAACTTTCCCACCTTCCAGAAGGAAATAAAGCCTCAAGAAAAAGGACCCCGTGTGTGTGCTCTCTCTGGGGAGCAGCCCCACCACCCTTTCTTGTCTTTCCCCCCACTTCTTGCCCCACAGGCGTGCATCTCCTAAACCCTATGGGAACCCAGGAGACTTGCAACCTGGGGAATAATGGGCAGCTGCAGCGGCAGCTCTGCAGGCTAGTCTTCTGAACCTGTTCCCAAGGGCCCCTTTTCTGACTTCCCAGAGAGCTGGGGCAGCCCAGCCTAGGCTCTCTCGTTGATTCTATTCTAAACCCTTTCTTGTTTTATGACCTCAGCTGTAACAGATGCTCCCTCATAGTCATCTGGACACATGTTGTGGAATTTTTCCTGCACAAAATCAAGAACCCACACACTACTGGCCAGGTCTCCTTTCTGGTAACATTGTGAGGCAACTGAAAAATACTCTAGACCCGTGTTCGTCAAACTGTGGCTTGCAAGCTACATGCGGCTCTTTGGTCCCTTGAGTGTGGCTCTTTCACAAAATACCACGGCCTGCAAGAGTCTGTTTTGAAGAAGTGGCATTAGAAGAAGTTTAAGTTTAAAAAATTTGGGCTCTCCAAAGAAATTTCAATCGTTGTACTGTTGATATTTGGCTCTGTTGACTAATGAGTTTGCAGACCACTGCCCTAGATCTCTGCTTATTCCTCATGGATAGCTACTGCATGCCAGCATTGCATAGGTGACTGGAATAATAAACTGTCTCATTCATTCATTAAGTACGGACTACAAAATATGTGCTGCTGTGTGTTTACACCACTGCACCATCCACTGGGTGACTCTGTTCCGTGGGTGTGGCAAGTTGGTTGCTATCTCAAGGCCTTTGCACTCGACTATTCTTTTTTGTGGAGTGCTCCTAATGGGTGCTTGCATTCTTTCTTTTTCTCTTCCTTTTTTTTCTTCCCCCCCCCCTCAGTTCTCATCATGTCTCATCTCAGAAAAGTTCCTAAATAACCTTATCTAAAATGTAAATGAAAATTACATTCCAGCCCTGTCCGGTTTGGCTCAGTAGATAGAGCAACGACCTGCAGACTTAAGGGTCCCAGGTACGATTCTGGTCAAGGGCATGTACCTTGGTTGTTGGCACATCCCCAGGAGGGAGTGTTCAGAAAGCAGCTGATCGATATTTTTCTCTCATCCATGTTTCTAACTCTCTATCCCTCTCTTTTCCTCTCTGTAAAAAACAAAATATATTTTAAAAGAAAGAAAATTACATTCCAGAAGTTATATTTTGCACTTAAGACAATGTTGGAAAGAGAAGGGAACTTCTGGGTACCAAGGTTTAATTTCCTAAGGAACTACCTCTAGCCTCTCTCACTCCTTTCCTGCTATAGTTAGCTGCTCATTTGATGCATCTTGCCACTTTCCTGCTGACAACCTGTTTCTCCCCACTACCTGAGAAATAACACCCAGACTACCTGGTCTGGAGACTGTTGAGGGCTTCCCTGATATATTTTCAAGTAATTTTGCTTGTTTCTTTCTCTTCCTGACTTCTAATTTCCTAATAGACCCCTGGTTTTCCTTCCTTGTTACTTCTACTCATTTGTTTTGTCTTGTTGGGACTTTCCCCCACCTCCTATAACATAATCGATCCTTCAAGGTGAGGCATGTTCCTATCAAATGAAATAATGTAAAAGGACTTTAGAAACTGAAAAAAAATTATGTAATTAGTAGCAAGATGGGGTCAGGGACAAAAACGGCATTTCTCCTCTTTCCCTAACCTTTAATGTAAAGTACTACATGCTAGCTTCTAGCCATATATGGCGTTGAGCAGCTGAAATATGGCCAATTTGATTGAGATATGCTGTATGCACAAAATACATGCTAGATTACAATAATCTAGAATGAAAAATAAAATACCTCATTTTTTATACTGATTATGTAATGAAATAATATTTGGATATCGGATTAAAATATTCTATTAAAAATAATTTTGCTTGTTTCTTTTTACTGTGACTGCCAAAAAATTTTAAATTACATGTTTGGCTCACATTTATGATCCATACTTGGATCACATTTACAGTTCACGTTATTTCTTTTGGACACGGCGGATCTAGAATGAAGACATTAATGGCCTGGCACAGGAAAGGCACTCAGTAAATATTTGTTGAAATAGATGAATGAATGAACGTTCTCAACAATGGGTAATGGGGTTCACTATGTCCTAGGCACTGTTATAAGCACATCCCACTTATTAATTTATTTATTCCTTACAACAATAATAGTTAATATTTATATAGCACTTATCCTGTACCAGTGCTTTCCATGTATTCATTCATTTAAACCTCAACCTTATTAACTAGGTTCTATGATCTTCGTTTTACAGACAGGAAATTGAGTCATAAAGAGTTCTAGTGTCTTCCCCAAGGTCATATAGCTAGTAAGCAGAACTGAGGTTAAGATCCAAGAGTTCGGCTCAACAGTTTGTGCTGTTAACTCCTGTGCTGTTGCTGCCTCTCCACACGTAAGCAAGGTATTGAAATAGGGGATATAATCCAATGTGGAACTCACAGTATAGAAGGGGAGGTGGGCCGAAACCGGTTTGGCTCAATGGATAGAGCGTTGGCCTGCGGACTGAAGGGTCCCAGGTTCGATTCGGGTCAAGGGCATGTACCTTGGTTGCGGGCACATCCCCAGTAGGGGAGGGGGGTGTAAAAGGCAGCTGATTGATGATTCTCTCTCCTCGATGTTTCTAATTCTCTATCCCTCTCTCTTCCACTCTGTAAAAAATCAATAAAGTATATTTAAAAAAAAAAAAAAGAAGAAGAAGGGGAGGTGGTTTCTTGATACTGTTTGAACGTATCTCAGTTTTCTCAAAGTTGCAAAATAGCTTCCCACATATTTTTCTTTCCCCAATAAGATTCCCCTAAGCATCGGGTTAAAAAGAGACAACAGACCTAAAAACTGAGTCACTTTTGCTAAGCACCACCTGAATGCAGTTTCAGCTTCTCGCAAGAGTGGAATTTTAAACCAATCAGCCTGAAATTTCCTGGTCAGCACTAATGAGGAAATCTGCCAGGAAAGACCCTTTGCCTTCCCCAAGCACCCTTCTAGTTGCTAGCTGGGATGCTAATTCGTAAGTCCTTTAATAAAAGCAATCAGATCTTCTCTGCTGAGTTTTGTTCTTTCACAAAGTCAGTGATCTCACAATCAATTATCTTCCCATCTCTGGGCCAGTGCCTTGGCCAGAGGGACGGGTGATCCTGAATGACAGCTACTTCTGGAGCTGGAGCAAGAGTCAGTTCCACTTAAGCAAGCCAC